CTACTGCTATTCCTACTTTTCCGACAAGGAAACTGAGGCTTGGAGAGGATAAGTATCTTGCTTAAGGCCACACAGCCAGTAAGTGGTGGAGTTGGGACGGAAATCTGGATCTCTCTGGCCCCAGAGGCAAGTGAGGAAGAGAGCACTCCTAAGACGGACGTGCAAAGCTTCTTGGAGAAACGTAGCTTTCCCACGGTAGATCGGGTATCTGGCATTTGCCCTGGTAATCCAACAGCAGCTCTGCCAATTAGTTCCCCCTAGCAGAAGACTCTGTTAGGAATGGATTGTATCAATTTGGGATGCTTTTGGCTACAAGTAACAGAAGGAAGAGAGCTTTTGTTTTTCTCACGTAACAAAATGTCTGAAGGTAAGTGTAGGCCTTGGTTCAGCTGCCCCCCCAGAGCTGTCAGGGACCCAGGCTTACTATGTCCTTCCATTCCACCACTGTTAGTGTGTTGGCCTTTGATCTCAAACTTGTCTTATGGTTGCAAGATGGCTGCTGCTGCTCCTGACATCACCTCTGCTTTCAAAGGAGGAAGATAGGGAAAGAGGTGAGGGTGAAAGACAGCAGGAGTGTGTTTGTCCCTCTTTATCAGGAAAGCTGTAATTTTCCCAGAAACTCTACTCAGCAGGCTTCTGTTTGTATCAGTAAGTCAGAAGTGGGTCATCTGACCACCCCTAGCTGCAAAAGGAACTGGTCAGTACCTGCCTTCCTTGTCTCTGAAGTTGAGGCAGGCCATGGAGAAGGGGTTAGAGAAGGGGTTAGAAGTGCTCAGAGGACAGCTAACCTGCAGTTAGATGCTCTCTTGCCAGAAGAGAGGTTTTTGATTGGTTTGGTCAGTGGCCTTCTGGTGTCGGGTGCCCCAGGCGGAGCTTTCACCTGGGCCTCCTGATGGGTCATTGGCCCACCTGTGGCCTCTTTGGGGCTGGATATTAAGCCATGGTCCCATGAGCTGTGGCATGGGAGTGGTGGGGATAAGTAGCACTAAGTATGGTAATCTTTGTGTGAGAAACCACTCTGCATGTCTTAGGGGCCACTCCAGTTCGTTGTGAGGTTTCTACAGGCAATGAGCAGGAAGAAGAGACATCAGAGGAGAATGGGGGATAAGGGAAGATTTTTTTTTTTAAAGAGCAGAAGCACAGATCATAAAAAGATGAAGGAATTTCAGCTGCAAAAAATTCTGTGCGTAAGACCCCAAAAAGAGTGAAAAAAAGTCCACTGGAAGAAAGTATTTGCAAAAGCATTCACTGACCAAGGACTAGTATCCAGAATACGAATCCTAATATATATAAATGTCAAACCACTCAGTAGGTAAGTGGCTGTTGCCAGATGAGGAAGGGTAAAGAGCCAGTAAACATGAAACTCTGCACACCTTCAAGGAAATGCAGGTTAAGACACAAGCAATCTGACACCTCTCGGCCTGACAAATGTTAGAAAGTCTGGCTGGAGGACCTAGAGCAGTAAGAGTGAGCACTGTGGATAGGGGTGCACATTGGGGCCACTTCTGGCAAGATATTCGAGGACATGTGGTAATGGGGAAATACTCAAACTGATCCTGCCTGTCTGCCGTGAGGTGTAGCCCCTGAGCGTCTGCGCGTGTTTCTGGGAGACAGTACAAGAATGGTTACTGCAGCATGGTTTGTAAAAGCAAAGACATACAGAAAGGATCCTAAATATCCCGTCAGCATGAGAAAAGAGAAGATTGGTGTTATAATTGTGTGGTGGAATGAATGCTGCAGAGAGCTGCATGGAACCAAATGCATAAATATCACTTACACAGAGAAGCTCGTTGCAGAAGAATCCAAGGGGTATAATAGCATTTACATAACCCTAAAAACATGCAGAGCAACAATACATTTTTTTAGGGATGCACACATAGGTGGTAGAAAGGAAAATGCATGGAAGTGACAAACTCCTCGTCACCATAGTGGTTCCCCGAGGGCAAAATGTGAGTCTTTGACACCCATTGTTAGCTGAGGGGAGGGGGGAGGGGGGCGCGGAGTGCACGGGGTGCGGACACGGGGTCTTGGACTGGATTAGTCACCCTGTTTCCTGAGGGGAAGGTGCAGTTGTTCGTCACGTTCTTTGTCTCTTTTGTATGTGTGAAACACTAAGTACGTAGACTGAATGTTAAAAACAGGACAGAAGAGTAAAAGAACTTTCCGGGTACAGAGTTCAGAAACCAGACCAGTGCCTGGCTCCTGTTGCACCTGCCCGCACAGCGAAGTTTTGACTGCGAACCTCCCAGATGGTCGGCTTTGTATGTGATCGTTGGCATCTGTGTAGCCTGCTCTGCACCAGCAAACTCTTTGATCACTGCTGTCCCCTCCCGTCTCTCCCCTGTTCCACATGCCCAAAGGAATGTTTTGATTGGAATGATTTGTCTTTCTGACATTTTGTTGCAAACCCTACTGGGTTGAATTAGGTTCTGAAACTGTAACATATTATGTAGAAATGGTGCTGTAGAGACCCCAGACTAGTTGCAGCTGGTCCACCTTTGCCTAGTGAGTACAGAGGGGCCTCTGTGCTCTTCCCTCTCATCACTTGATGACTGAAAACCCCTGGCTTCATCTCTGACTCTTGACTGGCTCATCCCTTAGCCTTCTTGTTTGCGGTGCCGTTTACGTGACGGCTTTCAGTTCCTAGAGGACAGGGCCCCTGAGGTTTCATCCTGGCGGCCCCCAGCTTGCAGGGTCACACTTCCAAGGCTCAGCCCGCGATGGACAGCCACTACTGAACTTCATCCTCCACTCGCTCACCCAAGCCCCAGACTTAGGGCTTGACCACGCTTTGCCCCCTCAGCCTTCTCTTCATTTTCAGCCCTAGCACTCCCACTCACCATCCCCTCCACCCCCAACCTCAGGCAGGAACCTTGACTCCCTAGTCAGAGAGAATGTATTGGTCCCATAATTGCTGTTTAAAAGTATGTTGGCAGCTCTTCCACAGGAGGCCTACACGCCGCCGCTGGGGCCGCCGCCATGTCTCTAGTGATCCCTGAGAAGTTCCAGCACATTTTGCAAGTACTCAACACCAGTATCGATGGGCGGCGAAAAATAGCCTTTACCATCACTGCAGTTAAGGGTGTGTGGCGAAGATATGCTCATGTGGTGTGGAGGAGGGCAGACCTCGATCTCGCCAGAAGGACCGGAGAGCTCACTGAGGATGAGGTGGAACGTGTGATCACCATTATGAGAATCCTCACCAGTATAAGATCCCAGACTGGCTTTTGAACAGACAAAAGGACATGAAGGATGGAAAGTATAGCCAGGTCTTGGCCAGTGGTCTGGACAACAAACTTCGTGAAGACCTGGAGAGACTGAAGAAGATTAGGGCCCACAGAGGGCTGCGCCACTTCTGGGGACTTCGTGTCTGAGGCCAGCACACCAAGACCCCAGGGCGCTGTGGCCACACCGTGGGTGTGTCCAAGAAGAAATAAATCTGTAGGCCTTGTCTGTTAATAAAATAGTTTATACACCTAAAAAAACAAAGTATGCTGGCAGGTTGGAATTTTGGGAATGAATTTTTAAAAGGTTCGGTAGCTGGGTACTTTTCCAGGAGGATAGGTAGCTTGGGCCAAGCGGGAGATTTCTCTGAGTCTGTTAGGATTCACCCCCATTCCTCTTTGCATGAGAAGTGTTTTCTTCCAACTGAGCCATCCTGGCACCCCTTCGAAGTGTTTTCTTCCAGGGGTTCCTGGGTCGCTCAGTTGGTTAAGCATCTGCCTTTGGCTCAGGTCATTATCTATCCCAGGGTCAGTCTTTAAAAAAAAAAAAAAAAAAAAAGAAGTGTCTTCTTCCAGAACCAGGGGCTGTGACAGGCTCTCTTTGGTGGAACGTCCTAAAAGTTGATGCAAGGGATTTTCACCTGGGAGGGCCTGGGGGAGAGGGGGACATGGTGCTTTAACGTCCTACTTTCATAGCAGGCTGTAGAAGGAGGCTAGCTCCCTGTGTCTGGGCTGTTTTCTGGCTGCCAGGCAAGCAGAGTAAGCTGATAAATGCAATTTTCACTTTGTTCCAGGCTGTTTTGTCATCTTGGAGAAACCAAAGTAGTTCAACAAGTCATATTTATTTTACTAAATAATTGATTAGGAGAGTTGCCTCCTATTAGGACCTTTTTTTCCACTGGGAAAACTATATTTATTATATCATTTTGCTCTAAGAACAGAACCTGGGTGCACAGTACCACACTCTTGTGGACATAGTATAAATAGCATGTGGTGGTGATGTTGCTAGCAGATCATTCCTAATCCCATGTTTCTTTATAATAGCCTTTGATATACTACCTCTCCTGTCAATGGACTCTGCCTGCTATAATATTATTCCTTTCTGCCACATTGCCACTTTCCACCATCTCTCTTCTCCTTAAGCTGGGTATTTTTGACCAACATGAATGTTATTTTCCTTCATTGCCGTCAAGGACAGCAAATAGGTTTTAATTCTTGTGCCATCTCTAATCCATTAAAAATGGCTGCTTGGAGTTCCGAGTTGGTAGGATACAGATCGAAGCTCAGCAGGGAGGAATGCCGATTGGTTAGCAATGTCTGTGATGGGCACAGGGTTAAGGCTTGGGGCACTCCTGTCTAAAATACTCCTTAAAAAGTTAAAAATTAAGAAATCTCTTAATATATCAAATTAAAAATGGTAGTTATCTGTAGATGGTTAGATTCTAGGGGACTTTAATGTTCTTTTGAGAATGTTCTATACTTTCTGCATATTTGACAGTGAACGTGTATTACTTTAATACCCAGGGAAAAACACTTTTAGTGTTATTTTGAAAGGAAACATCTTACCTGAATGAAACCAGGGATTTGAATGTGCTGTGTCAGTGCTTCATTCTGCTGCTGGGCTCTGTAGTTGCGATATGCTTAGCAGGGGGCTAGGCGTGCTCACTGCTTTTTCCTTTCCTGAACTCCAAAAAATCTTTTGACCCTGAGCCATAATTCTTGCTGTGAGTAGAGCATGGGACTGATACACTGGTCTCTCGTCTTCTAATCTGGCAGGTCGGGGTGGTGCATCTATCTATGGCAAGCAGTTTGAGGATGAACTTCATCCAGATCTGAAATTCACGGGTAAGTATATAATCTGGCAGCACGGGTGGCAGCGAGTGGATTTGAAAAGCTCACTCTTGGCTGTGATTCCGGGTGCATGCCTGACGCCGTGGCAGGGTGCCACGGAGCTGACCAGCTGCGGCGCCACAAAGAGCCCTGGTGGGTTAGAGAGAGTGACGGACACCTCTCTCTCCTGCATAATTCACAGTGCTGGTCTGAGTGTTCTAGACTATGATTGTTGAATGTTGCTGTTGCAAACTATAGGAAAGCGAAAGCTTCCTCAAAGAAGCCGAGAGACCTTGCTGGGATTTTGCGAGGCGTCGGGAACGCGGTCCAGCGGTTAGTGGGGATCATCATGGATAGAGAAGCTGGGGAGTAGGCGAAGAGTAGGAAGGCGGTTGTTGGGGTAGGGCGGTGACGGCCTTTGTGTAAAGGCGGGGAGCCTGCCCTCGGTGGGGGGCAAGAGGGAAGAGTGTTTGGGTTACATGGTTGACGATGGAGGCCAGAATAAAGTCTGGGATGGTGGAAGACGCACCCAGCTGGAGCTTTGGGGGTTATTTGTACTCTTTCTTCATTTTTCCCACTAGGGGCTGGAATTCTCGCCATGGCCAATGCGGGGCCAGACACCAACGGCAGCCAGTTTTTCGTGACCCTAGCCCCCACCCAGTGGCTCGATGGCAAGCATACCATTTTTGGCCGAGTGTGCCAGGGTATAGGAATGGTGAATCGAGTAGGAATGGTGGAAACAAACCCCCAGGACCGCCCTGTGGACGATGTGAAGATCATTAAGGCGTACCCTTCTGGGTAGGCTTGCTGCTGCCCTGCGCTCACCCAGATCTTCGGAGATGGCCCCAGTGAACCAGCTTCCAGATGACCTAGAAGGACACGTACTTAAACTCCATTTTGGCCTTGCAAGTCACAGAGCTCAGGAGACCTGGGGGCTTGGGTGAGTTAGAGATGGAAGTATATTTTAAGAGGATGCTTCTTTTCTCTTCCCCCGGTGCCTAGGTTGACAGAGCATTTGCAGAAATGCTCGTAAATGATCATTTACGGGGAACCGCTCATTGCAAGTGAGCATACTGCCCCTCCTGGCGTGTGTCTGTGCTGATACACTTGGAACAAAATGAGGCCGACTCTGTCATTCCATAGAGCCTGACCAAACTTCTTCCTGCAGAGATTTATATTCTGGCCTACACCGCAGTCTTCAGTGGCTGACAGCCACAGAATTCAAAACCAAGTAGTGTCTATCAGCCTTCCTAACTCTGCACACCCTATTTCAGTCTCCTACATTTGTTCTTCCGGGAATGTATGCATCTCTATATATATTTTCCCTCTCAAAATCAGAACATCAACACTGCTGTTTCTGACACTTAGACATCCCACGCAAAGCCACATTGAATTTTTGCCAAATGAAAAATGCATCCAGCAATCAAGTTTCTAAGAAAGTGTCAAGTGGGGAATGATAATATGTAATAATCAAGAAAGGAATTTATTAAAAGGAAGCAGAAACATTGACCATTTTTTCCCCAGGAAGGAGTAGAAATCTGTAGTGAGCCATAAAGACAGACTATGAATTCTCCTGAAAAAGCAGTATTGTCATAAAGGAGAGGCACCACTTAAGTTTTTTTAACCTAAGACTAGAGAAACTAGTTACGAGATTTTATATGTTTTTTAAGTCTTTCTGATTTTTTTTTTTTAATGGGGTAAAGAGAAAGGAACATCTATGTAATACATAGAAACTTCCCAAATAAAATGCCACTGATGGTTGACATTGCTGCTGTGGTCTGATTTTAAATACTACATGAAGTTTTATTAAAGATTTTTTTAAATTTATTTGACAGAGAGAGACAGCGAGAGAGGGAACACAAGCAAGGGGAGTGGGAGAGGGAGAAGTAGGCTCTCTGCCGAGCAGGAAGCCCGATGTGGGGCTCGATCCCAGGACCCTGGGATTATGACCTGAGCCAAAGGCAGACGCTTAACGACTGAGCCACCCAGGTGCCCCCTACATGAAGTTTTAATAGTCATTTTAACCTGTAAACCCTCTCAAGTAGTGTTGCAGGGCTCAGCTTCAAGATTTCACATTTTAGGTTTGTGCATCTCCAGTGGACTTCTATTCAAGAGCAGGTCTGACTTTAAAAAGACAGTACCAGGGGCGTCTGGGTGGCTCAGTCAGTTAAGCGTCTGCCTTCAGCTCAGGTCATGATCTCAGGGTCCTGGGATCGAATCCCACATTGGGCTCCTCATTCAGCGGGGAGCCTGCTTCTCCCTCTGCCCCTCCCTCTGCCCGTGTGCGCTCATGCTCTTCTCTCTCTCTCTCTCTCCCTCTCAAATAAATACAATCTTTTTAAAAATTTAATAAATAAATAAATAAAAAGGCAGTACCAAAGAAAGAATCTAAATGATGTCGATTGGCAGTTCTGAGTGAGGGAGAATCACTTGTAGAGGAGCCAGGTGGATGTGCTGGAGACCTAAAGCATGCCTTGAACTTGCAGGAAATCTACCGTCCTGTTGTTCTGGACCCAGAGGCAGTACGTACTGTACCTTCCTTAAATTGATAGCTCCTTAATTGAAGAGTGGATTGTAGCTTTAGTGTTTCTCTTTATCAGTCCATGAATTTTGGAAATGATGATTTACTTTATGGAATGGCCAAAAAGTTCTATTCCCCAAGCATTCCCCAGGTTCAGCCTCTCTTTCCATTCCTCTCTTTCTTTTCTCTCACAACAAAAAAGCAAAACCCAACAACAAACTATGTAAATGGCTTTATAACTTCAGCAGTGGTGTTGGGCGAAGTACTGTTCTAGACTCTGGGGAAATAGAAACTTCTTTTGGCCTAGACTGGGCAGACATAATTGGATCCACCTCTAGGAGCAAAGAATAAGATCCCCATCCCCTTATCTCTCAGAGTTACAATCCTGAAAATACCCATTTTCACCCAGGTCATGGGGGTGGTGGAAACATACTATCACTACCTTGAGAAGGAAAGAAGGACCTGAGTACAGTACTCTTGGTGTACTTGACCACACACAAGAATCACTGGGGGAGCCTGCTAGGAAGCAGATCAGGATTCAGCATCTGGCCAGAGATTCTGCATTTCTATCCAGCTCCCAGGAGATGGTGACTCCTGATCTAGACACCATACCTTGAGTAGTGAGATCCCAGAGGTCATGTTTGTCCAACATGACATTGGGGGTGGGGAAGATTTTCCTAAGAGCATGGGGCGGTCAGCACCATAACCCGATCTGCCTCCTTGACCGGTGGTGGCCTTGGAAGAGTGAAGAAATTCAAAGCATAGAATGAGCTTTAACTGCCTCTGGCTTTGGTTCCTGAGACTAAGCTTTTGGAAACTTCCCTTCTGCCTTTTTTTTTTTTTTAAGATTGATTTATTTGAGAGTGAGAGAGAGAGCATGAGCCGGGGGAGGGGTAGAGGGAGAAGGAGGAGCAGACTGCCCGCTGAGCAGGGAGCCTGACAACGGGGGCTTGATCCCAGGGCTCTGTGACCTGAGCTGAAGGCAGACACTTAACCGACTGAGCCACACAGGCGCCTCTGCCCTTTTGCCTTTTATTCCCACTTTAGTGCACTGTGGACATCAGACCATGGTGCATGGTACTGAGATCCCTGTGTGGGCACCAGGGTGGGTACGATGGTGTAGGTCACAGACATCACAGAAAATGCAGGGGAGAGATCATCAGCAATTATGACATTGAAGGAAAAGGGCTCTGGAACCAGACTGGGGTTCAGATCCCAGCTTCACCACTTGGCAGTACTGTGAAGGACAAATTTCTTAAGTTCTCTGCACCTTAGTTTCCTCAACTATAAAATGAGGATAATGGTCCTGGCCTCATAGGGTTATTGTGAAGATTTAAATGAGCTAGAACAGGTATCTAGAATAAGCACCAGCATTTAGAAAACAGCTTGTGGGTACTACCAGTGGCCCTCAAAGCCACCGTACACCCCTCCTGCCTCTTCATCCCAATGTTATCAGCACCCTGGCCTTGTACAGCTTCTCCCTCCCCCTGGGCTAGCCTCTGAGAGCAAAGCCCTTGTCTTGTTCCCCACCAGGAGCTGAAGGCACCTTATGCAATTCTTTGAAGTTATTGCTGAATGAATCAAATTTAAAATTGTTCTCTGTCAGGAAAAGATTAAGATCCATTTGCTGAAATAGCCTTACCCCATCTCCAAACCCAGGCTTTAGCTGGTATGGCAGCAAAGCCTTTCCACTAAGCCCTCTGGAAGTCCTCAGCTCAATTTATTTTTGGATTTGTGTCTCCAGAATACGTCAAAATAGCTTTCCCCACATAAGGGAAATGATTCCTACCCCCAGATACTCGAGCCAATCTGAGCCGTCACTGTGGCCCCTTCTGGTACCACATTCTTGCAACGTGTGGAGGAGGAAACATTGAAAAGCACATTTTTCTGAGTGGCAGAGTTTACTGCCTACAAAATAGGCTTCATGGCCTCAGGGTCTCATTGCCTACAGAGTAGGTTACTACTCTAGGTAAATACCAGAATAGGGATTTTCCAGCAACATTCTTTTACAGATAAGAGAGAAGCAAAATGCAGGGGAAGAAAACAAATGAGAGTCTCACTCTAAGGTGGTCTTGGTCTGGTTTTAGAAATTGGATCCTCCTTTGTTCTTCCGAATGGGTAATTCATGATCCCTGACTACATCTGGAACCACAGATGCCCAGTTTGGGGAAAAGTTTGCGGACAGACACATGTGAGCTTTTGTGTGACCTCTGGCGAAGCACTTTGCCTCTGGACCTTGGTTTCCTTATTTGTCAAGCGAAGATTAGAACTAGGCCCCTGTTAACCCTAAATTTCCAAATCTAGGTCATTCTGAGAAGATTCCTTCAGTTGCCAAGTTTCCACTTAGCGTGCTGTTCTAGAAGTTTGCCACTAGGGGCCACTGTGAATACAGTTTAGCCTTGCAGCTGCTTCAGGAGAGGCCTACCATAGCCTCTCAGGATGTTCCTAAGCCAGGCCTGCCACCCCTGGATGTGGAAAACCAGCAACTATTCAGATTGCAAGAGGCCAGAATTGAGATGTCAGCCTGGCAGTAAGTCTGTCCGTTGGTACATGCCAATCAACCCTCATTCCTGTTTAGATGGAGAAGAAGCCCTCTGTGCATGGCAGGATCGGTGGAGGCCTTGCGACTGCAGGGCCTCGTTCTGTAGCATGCCTCATTATAGAGAGCCAGTTCCCGTTTAGCTGCTTAATATTCTGCTCTACAGCAGAATTCATTCATTCAGCAAGTAATCTCGGAGCCCCGATTTGACGCCCAGCAATAGCAAATATTTTTATAGAATCAAAGTCAACAAAAGGAAGCTTAAAATGAAAAGTTATTGTTGCCCTTGTTCCATGCTCCATGGAAGCTTCTTATTTGTATTTTTCTCTTAATCCCCCAACTCAGTCTCTAAGGTTGGCATTTGTATACCCAGTTGCAGATGAGCGAACTGGAGACCAAAGGTAAGTAGCACAAAGCCTCGTACGGAGTGAATGAATGAATAGAATATCCGGTCCAGGGTTGCAAGGCTAGTAAAAGGCCAAGGCTAGGACTTGAGCTTCTGATCCCAAGCGCGGCCCTTTTACCTCCACTTTTGGCATACGGGGGCGGACGATGACGTACAGAAAAAGAGAATGACTTGGTGGCAGGGCAGGGCTTAGAACTTGAATCTCTTGCCTTGCAGGCTGGCCTGTCCAATTTGACTGTTGCATCCTAGGGTGTCCCCGGGCAGAGCTGGCCGGGGAGGCTCCAGGCTCAGCTATCTCTTAAGTTCCTTTCCAGCAGCCTGAACCAGGCCTGCGGAGACACAGCAGGAGGGAAGCGGGGGGAGGGAACACAAACGACCCTAATCAGTGTTTTTATTGGATCATAACTATATTAGCCTCACAACTCAGCGAATCTCACAGAAATCACTTTCCTCTCTGTGAGGATCTAGCCGCAGCTCCGTTAAAAGCTACTGGCCCACGTGTACGGCGGGGGGAAGCTCATGTGTAGCAGAAGCAGTGGGGGAGGAGGGAGAAGCAATATTTCTACTTCCTCATTACACTGACAGGGAAAATGGCCATTTCACATTCACTGTATAAGAAAAACCCCCAAAG